CTCGCTGGGGTCGGCGGATATATATACATGTATATACACACACACACCATATAGTATGATATGATATAATGCTAGATATGATATAATGTTGGATATGACATAATGTAAAACATAATTTATATAATACATTGATCAGGCCCAGCTAAGCAGCTTCCGAAACATCAACAATACAGTGTGGACTCGTTCAGACCTGGCTGGTGCTGTTACATTCGGAGCAAGGAAAATACTCTCCGCCCTGCTCGAGACTGCGTCTTCAACAACATGACTTGGCCAGTTTCCCAAAAGTCATCAAGAAGTTAATCACAGCAGGACAGCAGCAAAATCCACCAGCTTTCTTCGCAAGGTTGCCGGACGTGGAGACAGCAGACCTGAATTTGGGGAGCTACTGTTTTCTTCTCAGCGACTACTTTTTGAACCACGCTGTCTTTGAACCACAAGCGATTTCAACAGATTGGAAGCATCTTTCATGCTGGTATTCGAGTTGACCCATTTCCTTTGCAGTAGAAGCAACTTGTTGAAGGCAACGCAGGGGGAACATGGGACAAAAAACGATGTGAAAAAGTGGTTTGCCTGGCACAAAAACCTTTTCTTCTCAGGCCTTGTGCATCCCAAGATATCCCATGCTGTGGCACATACTTGTGGCTGCAAGGATCTCAGAGAGCAGAGCACCTGCTTGAGTCAGAGACCAGTCGTACTGTAATCCGCAGCTGCAGGGTCCTGGCAGATCTAAGGCCGTGGTTTGTCATTGGTGTATGCGCGGGAGGCGCGGCGCAAACTTAATGGAGCGGTATGAGCGGCCTGAGATGCATGGATCGCTTAGGCGACCGAGATGCATGGAGCGGATTGGTGTGAAGCTGCTGGGCAAAGTGAGTCAGGTCCTGAGGTCCTGAGGTCCTGCATTCTGACCAACTTCTGTCTCTTAGCCAATTTCTATACCTTCAATTCCTTCAATCTGTTTTTGATGCCCTTTCTGCGCTTTTTCTCCTAAGGCCCATCACAACCCGGCTGAAGAACTTGCTGAAGGCCTGGAACAGACAGCATTGTATAGGATACGGATATTTGAATCATCTGAATATGTTTGTATGATTAAGTCATATTAAGTCCCTTGAGTCATCTTAAGTCTTATGTGTCAAGCAAAAACCATGGAGTCATGGCCTCCCCACGGCTGGGTGCCCTGGGTGCGGAGATGTGGAGATGACAGGACTATCCTGCAGACATTTCCATGTTCAAGGAGATGGTGCAAAATGCCGACGATGCTGGAGCCACGGAGGTGAAACATCACCCGGCCTCAGCCCGGCTGACAGCCAGGTTTTGTTTTTTGGCTGTAAGGTCTGACATAGCCGATATAGCCGTGTTCATCAATTGGCTGTATTCGATGCTATTCTTATCGTAAATTACTATATATTAATATTATGTGGCAAAGATATCAAACATCCAGGCTATTTTCTTCCTGTGCTGTTGTCCCAAGGAGATTTTGCTTCCGTCCTGCAAAAAAGACCTTTTGCTCTTTTGACACGTATCCATTTTTGATCATTTTTGCATAGCACAGGCAGTACTCGTACCGTTGTTGAACCTAGGAGACTCAGGAGACTCAGGAGACCTTTAAAAATGATGGCTGAACGAAGCAGGTTTGCAGTTTGGTTGTTGACAGGTGCATTTCGTGTGGGACTGGAGACAGCATCGCAAGTTGCAGCCTTAGCGGAGACACCAAGATGATCCAAGATACTGGACCATCGCAAGTCTCTTGATAGCTTGATAGTCTCTTTAACATTCTTAGCATGCTGTCCAAGGCTTCCAAATCTGTCTACGTTTAGAGTTTAGAGCTTAGGCAATCCTTGCTCACTCCAGACATGGATAGATGGCCGCAAACCCAGAGAATCTGCTTCCATGAGTACCAAAAATGTCCCGAGCTTGTGCACTACAACTCTTGCAAAGGCAAGGACCTTCGTTGTGGATCTTCAACAATGCCCAATTCACCACCAAAGACTTTGACAGCATTTGTCGGCTCGGTGTGGGTGGAAAGCGCGAACAGCAGAGGACGGATGAGAATCGGATCTTACTGCCGTGATTTAATGCCGTGAACAGTCTGTCAAGTCTAGCATACTTGTGATACCTGAACTTGCATGCCGGATTCGCATGCTGCTTTTCCAAGTCAGGAAGATCGGTCGTTTTGGGCTAGGCTTCAACTCCGTGGCTTGCTGTGCAATTCAACATGGCAACTTCCTGGTTTCGTGTCACCAGTTTGACATGTAACATTTCCTATATTTCCTCTAGACTTTTGCTCCAGCAAAAAGAGAGTGCTTCTGGCAGATTCGCGGTTCAGCGCTGCTTCAGTCCGCAAGGTATACAATTTCACAGACCTGCCCAGCATCCTCAGCGGGGATATGGTGGTAGCCTCATGTGGAATGAAACGTCTGGAAACATCCAGAGATATCCAGAGGGTGGTCCACTTGGGTGTCTAGGTCCTGTTCCTTGATCCTCACGTTCATCACCTGTCTGCGATGGGCGCATCCGCCATGCCCTCATTGCGCTCGTTTGGATGAAAGCTCGACATCACTGGCGCTGAAAGGTCCAAAAACCTGGCATCAAGCTGCGTTTTCTGAAAATTAATGCCGTGCTCCCAGATCGGAAACCAAAGAAGACGGAGATATCTCAGGCAACCATATATTATTGTTATTAATATTAAACTGTATGACAATCTATACAATAATATTGCGTATATTCGGTATATCCATATATATAATAATATATATAATAATACTGTGTATCTATATAAAATAACATCATATGTGTATGTATATTATATATATATACCCGTACACATATATATATACATTGATATATATATATACACATTTATTGATATACATATATGTATATTGATGTATTGATATATATATATACATGTACATAATGATAATGATGATAATATTTTTTTTATGATAATGATGATGATGATCATCATCACCATCACCATCACCATCATCATAATCATATATATATATATACATGTATATGCATACATGCGTGCATACAGACAGACAGGCAGGCAGGCAGGCAGCCAGGCAGGCAGGCAGGCAGACACATACATACACACATACATACATACATACATACATATATATATATATATATACATATGCCCTGCCCTGCCCTGCCCTGCCCTACCCTACCCTACCATACCATACCATACCATACCGTACCATACCATACCGTACCATACCATACCATACCATACATACAGACATTGCATTACAGCACATTACATCACATCACATCACATTACATTACATCACATCACATCACATCCCATCACATTACATTATATACATTACATCACATTAAATGACATCACATCACATTACATCACATTACATTACATTACATTTCATATATACATACAATATGATACCATATGTAGAAAACTTGGAACCCTGAAGCAATTGGCTCTGCAGAGCTGTGTTTCTGAGGTCTTGGAGAAATTCAGAGATCAGTCTTGCTGGCAAGTCATTTTCTGTCGATGCTGACACTTGCTCCTGCTTATGTCTTCTGCTTCCCTTGCATCCGTTCGCAATGAAGACATGGTTGCTTTGCCGATTTTGCCGGCGTTTCGTTGTAGACGGAGCAGGTTTGAGCCATATCATGGGATGCTGGGATGCGACCTCTCGTCGTCACATCCATTTGAGGGCACGCCTGAGCCTTACAATTTTGATTTTTTTGGGTGTTGGCACCAGTTTAGTTTTGCAAAGAGACTGCTGTTGACGGATGTATGGTGAAAACGCAGGAAAACAGACAGTACTGTGTTGTTGTTGGTGCCAGGCCAGTCATTCTCATGCCAACCAACCTTGAGGTTGATCCGTGTTCCCTTCAGAACTCCGGAAGTGGCAAAAGCCAGCGAGGTGCAACTTTCATCGACGCCATCCGCAGGGTGGGCCATATGCACCGTTCATTTGTGAAGCTTCTTGCTCAGGTCAGCAGCATTCAGCTTGACGCTGCAGCAGCAGACGTGTTTGGACCTTGGGTTGTTAACAACCTTGGAACCATGGATTTGCTTTTGAGTGAAACAGATTGGCCGGGCGAAACGGAAGGCTCTCATCACGATTTCAGAAGGAAGCCTTTCAATGGTTGCTCTTCTTGCAGAGTGTGGCGAAGCAGATTCCTCAGGGATTCGAAGTCCAAACTGTCCAAACTGTCCAAACTCAAATAGACCAGTGGCATGCAGTGGTCCAATGTACGCAATGGCCCTGGACTTCACCTCAGGATTCGACTGTCTGAGATAAGAGAAGGAGATTCCAAGATACAGTGCTTGTGCGAGGTGTGGGGCCTGAAACATGAGCAGCCAAAAGTAAGACGAGAAATACATTGCAATAACACGAAATAAAACTAAATGAATAAAGACAAGAAGCAGTGCAGCAATCGGAATATAATATAAACACAAAACTGCACCAGTAGACTGGTTGTAACTCTAGATGGGCAAGCGTGGCTGTGAGATGATGAGATACTGGTATTGTTCTGAGGTCAATCTGATGCCACAATCTGTCCCTACAGCTCTGAAAGATGGAACTTCGAAAGAGAAAGGAAAAGGTGGAAAGGGCGGACAGGGTGGAAAAGGTGGCGAAGGTGCAGAGCCTATGGAGTTCATGGCGCTGGAACTTCAAGCTCCCAGACCAAGGGTTTCTGCTATCGGTTCAGACTCTGCCGGGCTCTCAGGTTCAGCATTTTGCATTTCCATGCCGGGTCAGTTTTGCATGACTCACATGAATGTCGTTGTATTCTGGACTTAGACAGCTTTCTTGGGCTTGTTCTTTCTCGAGGTCGCAGACGTGAGCATTAGCACGGAGAGTTTTGGCTCCCCTCCATACCAGCGTTGCCTGTCCTACAGGCCACATTCAACCCTAGCCACCAAGTGCAACAGCACCTGCTTACTTTTTGACAGCGCACCACTCTCACAACCTATGAGCACAGCTTCTCCAGGCTTGTTGGCGGCGAAGACTGCGGAGTATCTGAACAAGTTTGCGCTGCACTTCCCCTTGCTGTCGCTAGGTTACACAAGCATCCTGTGGTTGTTCCTGCAGGTAGGCAGTCACACACTGTGACACATATGGACTGAAGGGTATCATCTCGTGAGCAGAATCAGGAGCTTCCTGCATCTACGAAACACCCAGTGAAACTACGGAAAGAAGAGGCACGGGATACCGTACATGTATTTGCGTTTTGTATCTCCAGAATTCGCCTCTTTGATTTCAGCAAAGTCTTGGTTATTTCAAATGTTATTTCCATACATCTCACACATCTTGCTCCGTCGCTCAGGGCCGTTTGTTCTGCTTCTTGCCCCTTCCACCAAGTGCTGTGTCCCTTCGTGTTGCAATGCATGTTCATGCGCTCGAACCTCAGCTGCCTCAGCTGCCTCAGCTGCCTCAGCAGCCTCAGCTGACTCAGCCTTGTGCAGCAAACCCAGTGCAGATGCGTTTTTGCTCTGCCCACAGACTGATATCACAGATGCTGTTTTGAAGAGTTTCCAGACGTTTCCAGTCATATCACTTTTACATAAAATTTACATACATCATTTATATAATATCATCTAATTACATTTACTTGGTTTGGAGATGTTTTGAGGTGGAAGTGAAACCTATTCCCTTTCCGTATTCCATATCCCTCGCAGAATGAAAAGGCTTCTGACACTGAGGCCTTTGAACACTACGCAAGATCGCCGGAATGTTCTTTTGGACAATCGCGTTGGTGACAATGAAATTATCAGCGCAAACGCTTGGCTGCTCAGTTTCTTTTTGTTGAATCAAGCACGCCGTGCTCTCTGCAGTGCTGCTGCTGTGTGGACTGAGCAAGAAAAGACTAGAGAGACAAACAAACGCTTCAAAGAGCCTGCAAACATCCGCAGAATGTCAGAGCATCCAGCAAGCTTACACTTGCACTATGAGACGAGGTCCGCCTGCTGGATGTCCGCATTCCGGAGTCTGAAGCTTTAACTGTAGACCATTGAGGCTGTGAAAGATATGTGAAAGATATGTGAAAGATATAGTGGATATGATAGTCCAATGGACAGCATATCCACTTTGCACCCAGGTGCTTGGCGAGGTGTGCCATCAATCTTTCAAACCTGGCTACTCCTGAGGACGTAGAAATCCCGGGCAAGCCACAGCCAAGCTGAGAATGCAGTGAAAACATGTGAAAACAATCACCTTCGAAACGCAAAGACACCAAAAGACACCGTAAGACACCTGAAAAGAACGTGAACGACTTCAAGAATTGCTGTGCACTGTCGGAAGGATTTCTTCAGCATTTTTCCAGTGCTTCAGAGAAGCATGGGAGCCGCAACAGGTGCTTTGAGTGCTATCATTCGCAACAGATTCTTTGGAGTAAAAGATGTGAAGCCTTCAAATGGTGATGAATACAATTGATAAATGATTCAAATCTATTTGGCTACAAAGATCCCGTAGAATCATGTAGAATCCCGAGACTGAAACAGGTCAGAAAACTGAAAGGAAAGATGCGCATCCTGAAGTTGGTGTCGCCGATCGTGTGGCTTCGTGGCTCAATTATGCTCAATTTATGATACTGTAATAATATCCTGCATGATCCTTTGTAATCCAATATATTACAATTGTTCCAACACACCTCAGATACTCCAAGACAGAGTCCGAATCTCTTGCAATGTGCTGATGTGATCTGACGTTGTGCTGTTCAAGGCGCATTCCTTCTACAAACTCCTTATCCGCCGGCCTGAACCAATATTTCCTACAGTTTGATGCTGAGCTTGTTTCAGCTTCACGGAGAGACTTCGTGGGATTCACAGAGATCAACGACACTTTTACCATCCTGAATGCTTCGTCAGATATTTGGAACCCCAAAAAAACGCCTCAAGCTAAGGCAGCAGGTTCCATGAAGAAGTGCGTCCCTTTTCGGGATGCTGTTTTCTGCTCCGAAAGAGAGGCTTTGCGCTTGTGGTGTCGTCTGTTTTTAACTTCCTTTGATTTCAGCAATGACATGTCGAATTCTATGTCTTTGCCAATGCATATAATGCATGGACTCTCTTGTCCAGTCCGCATCCCGATCGAGGCCAAGCTCTCCAGTGGCGGACCGCCAGAACAGGCAAACGCCTTGCTCGAAAAGGTCATTGCCAGCAAGAGACTCAGATGTGGTTATTGATATTTGCTGAAAGTTCTGCTGATATATGATATCTTTCTATTGAACGAAGCTTGAAGATTTTTAGAGTAATGAAGGAAAGATAAGGAAAGTAAATGCTGGAGACTGCTGGAGACTTGCTTTATCAAGCTATGAATTACGATCGATGAAGGAGCATTTTGCCATGCAGCAGATGGTCGAAGGTCTGGCTCGCTTTGGAGTTCCGATTGTGAAGATTCCGCTGCCGGTCTTGGAGTCCTTTGAGCAAGTGCTTCATCCGGTTCTCCCACGAACGCCGCAGTCCAAGTCACTCTGCACCTTTGATTCCGGAATGCTGGGATATGCTGCGATGCTCTATGATAATATCCGTGGTGCATTGACTCAGGCTGACACCAGCATGGTTGCGGCAGTTTCTGCGCAATATCAGTGCTTCATCTATTCCTTCAGCTACTCCGAAGCGTACTCTCCTCAAGACATCTCTTGCAAATGCAAAGCCCTGCAGATGCGTTTGGTTTCTTTCACAGCGGGCCAGCGGGCCCTCACAGATTTCCCAGGTGGATTCGATTTGCAAGACTCTTCAGATGTACGGATCTTGTTCTTGCTTTTTTTGCTCCAGCAAAGAAAATGAATGGCAAAAGTTTGTGTTCTGGCAATTGAATCATTGGCCTGCTTTATTTCTTAGGATTCAGCTCAGAAAAGTGGCGAGGGTATTACCATTGGGAGCCTGACACCAGAAGAGGCAGCGCCAGCTGACTTGGGCGTTCAGCAATACGTGATTCAACAAGGTCACTTTATAGGCCCCCTCCTTGAGGAATCAGTGAATTGCACAAGAAAACATAGTACTATATAACTATATAGTTCTATAGCACTATAGATTGCAGTCCAATGGATTTCAAATCCCAGCTGTGAGGCAGTGGCTTTCCTTGACTTTGTGTTGGCAGACAATGACTTTGGTGACTTGGAGGGAGTTCCACTTCTTTTCACGGAGGCAACGACAGCCCCCGAAGAATTCCAGTATTCTGATTGTCATGGTGATTGAAGACTGAAGACTTGTCAAGATGTATTTTGCCCTGGCAGGACATGACAGCGGGAACCCAACCATTTACACTTTCTGGAACATCGATGCTCTTTGTACCAGAGGCCACTTCACCAAGTTCTGACAGTGTCTGAAAGAAGCATCATTGCTGCCAGGATGAGGAGGAGTACCAACTGCTTCCACAGGCCTATGCTGCCCATCCAATATGAAGAATCAATGGCACGCAATGGCTTTTCTCTCTTTTCATGCACGTTTCTCTTTGAGTGTGCGTCAGATGCTGCGCTCTTTCAGAAAGCTTACTGTACTCCAAATTTGTAAGCAGAGGAGATCCTTCGGAAGTAAGGATCATGCATGCAGAATTTATGTATATAGATAAAGTAAACACTTCATGGGAATCAACCTTGACAGTTGCAAGTCAAGCTTTGATGAATTCAACATCACTTGAATGCAAGATAGCGCCTTTTGGCTGAATGCGTGATACCACATTCGACAAATTCAACGAGCAAAATTGGCCTTACCAAAGTCAAGATGTGATGCCTCTTAGATGGTCCCGAAGCCAGTTTCATCCGATTCAAGAGATGTTGCGCAAAGGAACACAACTGGCTCAAGAGCACATGTAGATACAGAGCACGACACTCTACTGCGTCCCAGGATCCAGTGTGTCTCTCTTCCTTTATGCACCCATAGCACCGCAAGTTGCATTTTAAAATTTGATGCATCATTGTAGGACAAGCAGGTTGTATAATGTTCAGGACTCTTTTGGAGAACAGATGATACACCGAGGCAAATGCATGGCTCGACCCACCCACGCATGGAAGAGCAAACACATGGCAACACCTTTGGCTATTCTGAGCATTCAACTCACTCCAACTATTCCAAATGATAAGATAGCATGATTCCCATTGTAGCTTTCAATCTGTGCACTATTCTACTCTATTGGCTCAATCATCTGTCAAAGAAAGAGCTTAGCAAAATGGACCAGAAGGATTTCCAGCCTCTTTTTTGCCAGCACCGTTTCGGAAAAAAAACAGAGCGTTGAATGGTTTGTTCCGCTGTGCAAGACAGGCTCCTCGTCGGCTTCTCTCGAAACGGATCCGCAACTCACGACCATGGGTTCAGCACTAAGATTATGACACTGGCCGAAGCAAAGCATTGATCAGCACTAGCAGCGATGAGGAGAGGAAAGACTTCGAGCCTTTTTCCCCTGCACGCAGGTTTGGCAAAATCTGCAAAGAATGGCATCAAGTGAAGTGCAGCCCAGTCAACCGACACAAGGAATTCGTGGCACTGCGGGCATGTTGTTTGTTTGGGGAATCAAGTGTGTCGTCAGGAGAAGGACCCAGCTTTCAGCGTCAACCTCAGTCGAATTTCAGACTCAGTATGGGAAAGACAAACTGCCAGAGATAGTGGAAACACATGCCCCAAATTGTGCAGAGGACATTCTGAGGCTCAATGCCTAAGTGCCTAACTGAATCATCCTGCCCGCCTTTGCGCAATGTTTGCCAGGCTTCGAAAAATGACGGTTTCTCCTTTGATGTCTGCGTTGCAGGACATCCTTGCTGTGACCTTATTCTTAAATGCTCTTGAATGTAGATACGCTGCGCACATCTTAAAACCTTGTCACAGACTCAAGTGGGAATGGTTCTCGAGTTTCTTTTTGTGAGATAATGTAGTTCCTGGCATTCCTTTTTGATTGGTCAAGCCTTGCTGCTTTTGCTTCTGCTTTCGTCCTACTATCATACTTTGGCAAGGCCTGCCTGTGTGAAGTTTGGCAGAAATGCTTAGCAGACAGAGAGAGAGAGTGTGTGTGTGTTAAAGTGCTCTGACATAGGCGAGTATGCTGCTTGCACTAATGTTCTCGACAGGTCCAAAAGGGAAAACATCATCAATATCAAGAGATTGAGCCACACTGGGCCAGGAGCTTTTGCCAAAGGCCTGGAATGTCCCAGTGCCTGAAGTCGGGAAGTCTGATTGGGAAGGCCTGCACTTACAATGCTATTTGGAGCCCT